GCAGACGCCAGGATTTTCGCGGGCAGACCAAAAAGACCAAGCAAAAGCTTCGGGATTCTGAGGCAGATTCCCAAGGCGTGGTCGGGGCAGCAGAGCAAAGAAAATGCAATTCTGATGCAGGTTGCCGGGCCGGCTAAACAATGGGACTGGAAATGGGGAGGCCGGCCCGGCAACCTGCAGTGGAATTTTCTGCAGCCTGGGGGCCTCTGTATTACCTTCACACCCCTGGGGGCCCCCTGTTCCCAGGACTTCGGCATCTCAAACGGAATGCACCTCCCCACCGCCCCGACCCCTGCCCCGGCCGGTCTCCATCTCAATAGTGTGCAGCTCAGCGAGGGAGCCTTCGCCTTTTCTCCGCGCTGCGCAGCTTCAGGGCGGCTGTCAATATGACCGCCCCACCACCTCCTCGGCCAACCGCTTCGCCCTGGACCTGGCCGCAGTGCCCCTCAGACCCCACCCTGGTCTTATCCTCTCGGCCGGGCCTGGGTGCTGGCGCCTCCACCCAGGCACTGCTCCACGGAGGCTTGCCCTCCCTGCCCTGTGGAACAGCCCAGTCCCTCTCTGTCCCCTCATTGTCCCTCACAGCACAACACCGTCCTCAGGGGTCTATTGCTGCTCCTCCACCCCCATCGGAGAACAGAGGCTCCAGGAAGCCGGGGACTGATTGGGGATGAAGCCATAGCTGTGCGGATACGTGATTCCATAGAAGAATGTTGCAGACCTAAGGAGAAGGAAGGAGATGTCAGCAACATAGCCAATGCGGACTAAGACAGCGGCAGGACAGCAGAGCTGCCCCCAACAGCCGTCACCCCAGAGGAAGCTGGTCATCAGCCCTGGTTCTCACGTGGCTTTGACAGTGGAACCTGGATTGGAAGACACACCCCTGGAAAGGAAGCTGTTAGGATTACGATTGCCACCAAACTCCCCAAACCTGGGGACCTGGGACCTGCAATGGCAGGCGGGTGTTATGGATTGTGTTCCCCCAAAATATGAGTTGAAGTCCTAACCCCTGTATCTGTGGATGTGATCCCGTTGGGAATGGGCTTTTCCTTGTTATATTAATGAGGCCATATCAGAGTAGGGTGTCATGGATTGAATTGTGTCCCCTCAAAATATCTGTCAACTTGGCTAGGCCATGAGTCCCAGTATTGTATGATTGTCCACCATTTTGTCATCTGATGTGATTTCCCTATGTGCTGTAAATCCTATCTCTATGATGTTAATGAGGTGGGATTAGCGGCAGTTATGTTAACGGAGCGGGACTCAATCTACAAGATTACGTTGAGCTGCATTGCGTTTTAAGCCAGTCTCTTCTGGGATATAAAAGAGAGGAGTGAGCAGAGAGACGTGGGGACATCATATGACCTAGAAAGTAGTGCCAGGAGCACAGTGTGCCCTTTGGACCCGGGGTACCTGGGCTGAGAAGCTCCTAGTCCAGGGGAAGATTGATGATAAAGACCTTCCTCCAGAGCTGGTGGAGAAAGTCTTCCCCTGAAGCTGATGCCCTGAATTTGGACTTCTAGGCTCCTAGACTGTGAGACAGTAAACTTCTGTTTGTTAAAGCCATCCACTTGTGGTGTTTCTGTTATAGCAGCACTCGATGACCTAGACAGAGGATGTGTACTAAACCTAATTACTTCTGAATGATAAGAAGAAGCATGTTGTTAGGTGCCATGAAGTTGGTTCCGATTTATAGCGACCATATGTACAACAGAGCAAAAGAAAACACTGCCCAGTCCTGTGTCGTCACTGCAGCCACTGTGTCAATCCATCTGATGGAGGGTTTTCCTCTTTTTTGCTGACCCTCTACTTTACCAAACATGATGTCCTCCTCCCGGGACCGGCCCTCCTGATAACATGTCGAAAGTACGTGAGACAAAGTCTCACCATCCTTGCTTCTAAGGAGCACTCCGGCCGTACTTCTTCCAAGACAGATTTGTTCATTCTTCTGGCAGTTCATGGTATATTCAATATTCTTTGCCAACACCATAATTCGAATGCATCAATTCTTCGGTTTTCCTTATTCATTGTCCAGCTTTCCCACGCATATGAGGCAATTGAAAACACCATGACTTAGGTCAGGCGCACCTTAGTCCTTAAAGTGACCGTCTTTGCTTTTTAGCACTTTAAAGAGATCTTTTGCAGCAGATTTGCCCAATTCAATACATCATTTGATTTCTTGACTGCTGCTCCCATGGGTGTTGATTGTGAATCCAAGTAAAATGAAATCCTTGACAACTTCAATCTTTTTTCCGTTTATCATGATGTTGCTTATTGGTTCAGTTGTGAGAATTTGTGTTTTCTTTATGCTGAGGTATAATCCATACTGAAGGCTGTGGTCTTTGATCTTCATCGGTAAGTGCTTCAAGTCCTCTTCACTTTCAGCAAGCAAGGCCGTGTCATTCTGCATTTTGTAGGTTGTTAATGAGTCTTCCTCCAGTCCTGATGCCGTGTTCTTCATATAATCCAGCTTCTCGGATTATTTGCTCAGCATACAGACTGAATAAGTATGGTGAAAGGATACAACCCTGACGCACACCCTTCCTGATTTTAAACCATGCAGTAGCCCCTTGTTCCGTTTGAACTGCCTCTTGGTCTGTGTACAGGTTCCTCGTGAGCACAATTAAGTGGTCTGGAATTCCTATTCTTTGAAATATTATCCATAATTTGTTATGATCCACACAGTCGAATGCCTTTGCATAGTCAATAAAACAGAGGTGTCTTAGTTATCTAGTGCTGCTATGACAGAAACACCACAAGGGGGTGGCTTTAGCAAACAGAAGTTTACTCTCTCAGTCTAAGAGGCTAGGAGTCTGAATTCAGATTGCCAGCTCCAAGAGAATGCTTTCTCTCTCTGTCGGCTCTGGAGGGAGGTCGTTGTCACCAATCTTTTCCTGGACTAGGAGCTTCTCAGCACAGGGACCCCGGGTCCAAAGGACACACTGTGCTCCTGGCACTACTTTCTTGGTGGTATGAGGTCCCCATGTCTCTCTGCTTGCTTCTCTCTTTTATATCTCAAAAAAGACTGACTCTGGACACAACCCAATCCTGTAGATCGAGTCCTGCCTCATTAACACAACTGCCACATACCCCACCTCATTGATGTCATAGAGGCAGGATCTACAACACACAGAAAAATCACATCAGATGAGAAAATGGTGGACAATCACACAAGACTGGGAATCATGGCCTAGCCAATTTGACACACATTTTTTGGGGACACAATTCAATCCATAGCAACAGGTAAACATCTTTCTGGTATTCTCTGCTTTCAGCCATGATCTAGCTGACATCAGCAATGATATCCCTTGTTCCACATCCTCTTCTGAATCTGGCTTGATTTTCTGTCAGTTCCCTGCGGATATACTGCTGCAACCACTTTTGAATTATCTTCAGCAAAAGTTTACTTGTGTGTGATATTAATGATATTGTTCAATAATGTCTGCATTCCATAGGATCACTTTTCTTTGGAATGGGCACAAACATGGATCTCTTCCAGTTGGCTGGACAGGTAGCTGTCTTCCAAATTTCCTGGCATAGATGAGTGAGTGCTTCCAGTGCTGCATCCGTTTGTTGAAACATCTCAATTGGTATTCCGTCAATTTCTGGAGCCTTATTTTTCACCGACGCCTTCAGTGCAGCTGGGATTTCTTCCTTCAGTACCATCGGTTCTTTATTGTATGCTACCTCCTGAAATGGTTGATTGTTGACTGGTTCTCTCTGGTACACAGAGACACAGATAAGCGAGCACAGCGGGCAGAGACAGGCAGGTGAAGAGCGCCAAGGATCTGTGGCCCCTGGAGGAGACAGGGGTCTTCCCCTAGAGCCATGGCCTGAATTCAGACCTCTAGCTTTCTGAACGGTGAGAAAATCAAGTTTTGCTCATTAAAGCCACCCACCTGGGTATTTGTGTTACAGCAGCACTAGGTGCCTGAGACAGTTGTTAGAGAATGATTTCCCGAAAAAGGTAAAATCGTGACTCACATTATTTGCTGTGCAGTCGATTCTGACTCGCAGCGACCCCATGTGACAGGGTAGAGCTGCTCTCCTACCGACAGGAAATCAGAGGATTGTTGATATTGAACGCCAATTTGAGAGCCCCAGGCAGGTGTTATGACTCACTCAAAGGAGGGCTTGAGGGACAGACACATGTATAGATCTGGAATATTGATGTGGATGTGTCCATGGGGGTACGACAGGCTTTTCTATGGATGGAGTCCCCCCGGCCCCAGAATCCATTGCTTGTCTGTAGCCAGAATGACTTTGCCTGCTGCCAGTTACCCAAGTAGCTCCTCTGGGATCAAAGTCAGATATGGGTGTGTCTCTCTCTGTGTGTGTGTGTGTGTGTGTGTGTGTGTGTGTGTGTGTGTGTGCGCGCGCGCGCGCGCTCACGTGCTCGGGCGCTCCCCACCAGGCAGAGTTGTCCCCTGAAGCCAGCGGGTTCCCAGCACAGCGAAGGCATCCAGGAAGGGCCTGGGTGTCGTCGGCACTAATGAGAGGCAGATGGGCCTACCGCTTAGACCCTCTGGGACCCAGACGAGCCGCCCCCACCTGGTGTGCTCTGCTGGTGGGGCGATACGGTGGGCCTCGGCCTTCCTGGTCCGGTCTGTGCGCCCTTACCCTCCTGCCCGTTGCCACCGCTAGGAGCAGCCGCGAGGGGTGTCAGCAGTGTGGGCTTTGCTGGGGCATCGTTACCTGTGGCGAGCTGCAGCGGAGGGGAGGGCGGCCACCGCCCACCGTTCTTGGAGGTCCTTTGGCACCAACAGTCTGAAGCAAGGACTTTTGCGCACCGCCACACTGCAATGAGATATGCAGGGTGCCCTGGTCAGACAGCACTCAGGCCCTTTAGACAGCGGCTGGGGATCGCGCGCCCTCCCGGGAGACCCCGCCCCCGAGGCCCCGCCCGCTCCTCCGGCCCCGCCCCTCCGGCCCCTGCGCCGTCGGGGCGCACTAGCCACCTGCCCGGCAGCCGGCTGTACACTAGGGTCCTTGGCCCAGGCATGGCGCGCGCGGCGGGCCCCGAGCGGCGGCTGCTGGCCGTCTACACCGGCGGCACCATCGGCATGCGGAGCGAGGGCGGCGGTGAGTCGGCCGTGCGCTGTGACCCCACTGTGACTTGGGGCCATTCCGCCCCGCCCAGAAGGGGTCCCAGTGGGCGGCATCGTTCCGCGCTGCCCTTGGCCCTTTCCCAAACTGCCTGTACCCCTTAAGTGGACCCCTGGGGCGCAGGGGGTTAGCCCTGGAGAGAGGGGACAGGCGGCGATGACCTCACCTGGCCCCACCGCCGGGGTTGTCCCAGCGCTCCCTGGCTCTTTCCCAGACCGACCACGTGGAACCATGGAATGTGGGGCTGGGAAGGACCCCCAGAGTATCCGTGGGCGCACCTTGCCTGGACACAGTCGTGGATGTGAAGATGTTTAGGGAGCTGCCCTCACTTGGGGTGATCGGGAGGCTGTAACTTCACCCCACCTGCACCCTACTCCTCGAGTTTCCCCTCGTTCCAAACCCCTGTGGGTCCTGGCCCCGCAGGCCGTCCGGGGTGACACATTTGCAGAACCTTGAGTTCATGTCCTGGGGACAGAGGTGGCACTTGGGTTGCAGCGTTTTGTTTACTCTGCCGCTGAGCGCTTGGGCGAACTCACGTCAAACAGGGATGGATTGTGCTCCTCAAAGGGGAGCCACGGAGTGGTGGGTTCGCTAAGGGTGGGGCAAGGGCCTGGGGCCCAGGCACCTGGGCGCTGCAGGCATCTCGCCCACCTGCAGGGGTGCTGGGCAGCCCACCAATGTGAGCTGAGCACCTTCAGGGTGGACCCCAGTCTGGGTTCTCAGGGTCAAGGATAGTGTCTTAGATTCCTGGTGTTGCTGTAGGAAAATGCCAAGAACGGGCGGCTTTAACGAACAGAAAGTTATTTGCTCGAAGTTCAGGCGGCCGGAAGTCCGTCTTCAGGGCGTGGCTCTAGTGGCAGCCTCTCTCCCTCGGTCCGCTCTGGGGGGAGGTCCTGGTCTCAGCTTCTCCAGCGTTTCAGTCAGCGGTCTTTGGAATCTCCTCGTGGCGTCTGTCTTTCCTCCATGTGTGCTTGCATTTGTGTCTAATCTGCTCTTTTTATAACTCAAAAGTGATTGGTTTAAACACACCCCACGCTGATATGGCCTCATTAACTAACAAAGAGAACCCTATTCCCAAATGGGATTACATGCAGGGGAGGTTGTTGGTAGGTGTCCTTGAGTCCATTCTGATTCAGAGACACCTCAAGTGAAAGAGCAGAAGTGTCCCCTAGAGCTTCCTAGGCTGTAATCTTTACAGGAGCAGATCTCCAGGTCTTTCTCCTGCTGAGCTGCAGGGTGAATTTGAACCACCAACCTTTCAGTTAGCAGCCGAGCACTTTACCATTGCGCCACCGGGGCTCATCATCCACAGGTATAGGGGTTAGAATTCCAACACATGTTTAAACCCATTGTCATCTATTTGATTCTGACTCACAGTGACTCCACAGGGTTTCCAAGGCTGTAAATCTCTACAGAAGCAGACTGCCACATCTTTCTCCCGCAGAGTGGCTGGTGGTTTCAAAATACTGACCTTTTGGTTAGCAGCCACCCCACCCTGCTCAAGAACCCAGGCCCAGGTAGGACCAGCCTCCACCCCGGCCTCGTGGAGCTCAAGCACTGGGGTCCTGGCTGTCCACTCCACCCTGGAAACCTCCTCCTGGGCTGCCAGGAGCCAGCCTCTGCTGCTTCTCCCTTTGCCCCTGATGCGGGCAGTTTGGGTGTTGGTGATGCCAAGAGGCCCGTGTGACACTCCAGAGAGAGCAGACGCGGCCCCTGTCCTTGGGCCTCATGGGCCTGAGAGAGGGGCTGGCACTGAACAAATGGTGATGCTAAGTTCTGCCAAGGAGCTGCACAGGGCAGTGGTCACCTCCCTGGCCTGGACCAGCATGCCCTTGTTGGGGCTGATCAGGGAGGGCTTCCTGGAGGAAGTGAGGCTGAGCCTGAGTGTTAGGCCCCAGGGGACAAAGGAGGAAGAGGCTTGAAGTCTGTCCCTGCTGTCCCCTGATAGCAGAGATGGAGCACACACACCAAACATCCAGGGAAGGGGGTGCCAGGGCCGCAGGGAGACCCCCTTGGGCGTGTGACTGGTGCTTGGTTGTCCTTTGGGGCACACAGAGTGTGACCAGGGTACCTGGACTCTTGGGTGCAGAGGGAAGGTGTGCCACAGCCAGGGAGGATGCAGGACCCAGCGGGAGGCCGGGGAGCCAGACACTTGGCCCTGAGGGACTTTTCGTGTGTGGCCCCCCCGGCCCATCAAGCGGGTATTCAACTTGGGGCTCTACAGCCAGGCCTGCTCTAAGTCCAGCTGGGTGGCGTCAATGATTAACGTGCCCCCCACAGCCGGCAAGGCCGAAGTGGCGTTGACCGTAGAGCTGCTGTTTGGATTGCAGCTGTCGAAACAGTTTCTGCGTCTGCTGGTAAACAGTGGCCTCTGGGTTGGATGCACAGTGTGTCAGGCCCTGCCAAAGTCAGGACACCGCTCAGCCTGTCACGTCTCTGAGTTCAGCGAGGGTGTCACAGGGCAAGGTCATCATCATGAATCCCAAATGACTGACAGGCCCAAAGCCCAAGGTCGAGCAGCATCCGCAGCATCCTTGGTACCGGCCCAGAAGCCCAAAGGCCCCGGGTGTCCAGCTATGACCACACTGCCTCAAAGCCCCTTGTGAGCCTGGCTCCTTGTCCACGTGGCAGGGTGAACAGAGCTTCTGGGGCGGGCAGCTAGGGGCCTGGGAAGACATTGGCCATGGAGGGTCCAGGCTGATGAGCCTGCAGCAGTCAGGATGATGTCCACAGCTTCACGGACACCGTGACGTGGCGTCCGTGCTCCCCACTGGACCGCCATCCTAAGTGTGGTTCCACGTGTCCATGAGTACGAGTCGTTTTATGTCCTGAGCTTGACACCCGTGGTTCCAGGGCGTGTTAGAGTTCTCCAAGGAAGCAGAACTAATAGGATCTATATATAACTGAGACCAAACCTGTTGCCATGGAGCCAATTCTGACTCTTGGAGACCCCAAGTGTGCACAGTAGAACTGCTCCATAGGGTTTTCATGACTGTGAACTTCAGGATGCAGATCGCCAGGTCTTTCTTCAGTGGTGCATCTGAGTGGGTTTAAACTGCCAACCTTTCGGTTAGTAGCCCAGCACTGACCTATTTTTGCCGTTCATATCTCTTTATCTGACATTTTGCATTTACAACAATAGTAAATGATCTACTGTCTGACTATTTTTCGCATTCTGTGTAAGAATGGCAGGGAGCGGCATCTGACCTCCTCTCACCTCACAAGGGGAAGCAGACTCATGATCAACAGCCCAAGGCTGATCCCTGTGAGGCCGAGGTCAGACAGGCCTCCTCTCCACCGTCTTTACCGACTCTGACACCAGCTGTCCCTCCCACGGCACTCTCTACTTCTCTGCTCAGTTTGATAATTCTTTGTAATGGCCACACAGAACTCACAGACAATACTCGCAATTATGGGGTTTATTAGGGAAGTGACAGGTTACAATTCAGGTTCAGGAACTCTCAGGATACAGTTCTTCCATCAGGACAGCCTCTTCCCAGCTGTGCTCATGGGCTTGCCTCTCTGGTCCTCGGCCTCCGTCCTGCTTGGGAAAGTGTTACAAAGCTCTTTTAGCTCTGCCAATAAGTGCCCAGAGGCACCCTACTCCGTCAGTAAGCCTCAGCTGGAAGGCACTCAGCTCTAGCTCCGTGGGTTGACGAAGCTAGCTCCACCAGGTGCCTGGAGGCACCCTACTCCACCAGCAAGCCTCCTGCCCACAGGCACTCAGCTTTCCTGCTCCATGGGTCAGGAAGCCCACTGCGCCATCTCCTGTTGGTCTCTCCTGGCGCCGTTTCTCTGTCACGCTCCTCGTCATCTTCCGTGTTAAAGCTCTCTCTCGGTCTCTGGTTCCAGGAGCTTCTCAGCACAGGGATCCCGGGTCCAAAGGATATGCTCCACTCCTGGCTGTTCTTCCTTGATGGTGGTGGGACCCTCCGTTTCCTGCCTCTGGGATGGCTCATTTCAAGCCCAGCAGGATGGCAAAACTGACCAATCCCCTTGGTGGGCCACAGTTACCCTATTTGCACAGCCCCATCCAATCTCTCGTGGGGGGTGCTCGTAAAAGACCATGGAGAGAAAGGCCACACAAAAGTGATCCATCATGCCACAGTCTGGCAGTAACAAATGACGAGGTGCGAAACGAGAATAATGCTAGCTTTGATGGTTAAGGTTATGTGTCAGCTTGGCAGGGCCATGACTCTCAGTGGTTCGGCAGTTATGTAATGATGTAGTCATCCTCCATTTTGTGATCTGATGTGGCCATCCTCCATTTTCACATAACAACCAATTTCGCATAACAACCTGGTCTTTGGAACCTAACCATGTTGATGTGTGAGGAGAGGGTATATATATATATATATATATATATATATATACACATATATACACCATTGAGTCGATTCTGACTCACAGCCACCCTATACTACAGAGTCGAACTGCCCAACAGGGTTTCCAAGCAGCGGCTGGTGGATTCCAACTGCCAACGTTTTGGTTAGCAGTTGAATGCTTAACGACTGTGCCACTAGGGCTCCTTATACATATATGTGTGTGTATATACATGCATATGGAAACGCTGGTGTCATAGCGGTCAAGCGTTTGGCTGCTAACCAAAATGTCAGCAGTTTGAATCCACCAGGTGCTCCTTGGAAACCCTATGGGGCAGTTCTCTCTGTCCTTTAGGGTCTCTGTGAGTGGGAACCGACTTGATGATACCTAACAACAACAATATGTGTCTTGGAAATGCTGCACCCGAGCAAAGCGCCTTCCCCAGGGGTTGCTGACCCACCTCCCCAGGAAGGGAAACACCAAAGAAAAAAGAGGATCCTCGCGACATGAGAAGGCAGAAAGAGACAGGAGCTAGTTGAATGGACACGGGAAATCAGGGGTGGAAAGGAGGAGTGTGCTGTCAGATTTAGGGATAGCAACTAGAGTCACATAACAATTTGTGTATAAATGTTTGTATGAGAAACTAACTTGAGCTGTAAACCTTCACCTAAAGCACAATAAAATAATAAGAAAAAGGGGCTCCTCGCCCTGCCCCAACCAGGGGATGGTAGAGAGGGGAGTCTTTGTAAATGTCTCCCTGTGAAGCTGCATGAAATATGGGAAGATGTTGAAAAGAGAGAAAAACCTAGACCTCATGTCTATGGTACATTCTACTTTTGTGGAGACTTACATGCACGTGTGTCTATATAATATAAAAAACCTAGTTACCATCAAATCGGCTCTGGTTCATGGTGACCCCATGTGCGTCAGAGTAGTACTGTGCTCTACAGGGTTTTCAGTGGCTGATTTTCAGAAGTAGATTGCCAGACCTTCCTTCCGAGGTGCCTGTGGGTGGACTCTAACCTCCCACCTTCAGTTAGCAGCTGAGTTCACTAACTCTTTGCACCACCCAGGGACTCCATCAGCTTCCACAACTGCGTGAACCAATCCCTTCAAATCAGTCTCTCTCTCCATATTTTTAGAGAGTCTGAAATTTGTAGGTCGGTCAACAGGCTTGAAACTCTGAACGGATTTCTACGTTATAGTCTTGAGGCAGAATTCCTCTTTCTCACAGAAACCTCAGTTTTTGCTCCCTTCTACTGATTGGATCAGGTCCACCCAAATTATGGAAAGTAATCTAATTTACTTAGTCAACTGATTGTAGATATTAATCACATCTATAAAATACCTTCACAGCAACATCTAGACTTGTGTTTGACAAAACACCTGGGCACTATTGCCAGGCCAAGTGGACACATAAAATTAGCCATCTCACAGGGGTACCCGTTGTCCTAGAGGGCTGAGATTAGGAGAGAAAACCCCCACTTACAGGTAAGCATGTTTGACAGGGAACAGAGAAGGTTCTGGGTCAGTGTGAACTCAGCTCAGGGACGAGGCCCCGGGTGGGGGAGGGTCCAGGTGTTGTGGGGCCTGAAGCGTTTGGGGTGCTCTCTTTAAGAGAAACAATACATATTACAAAATCAAAGTTGGGTGTGAAAGCAAATATTTATTTAGAATGAGAAACGAAATTGCAACCAATGACAGATTTCCAAAAGCTGGGGACGCTACAGAATCCAGAGAGCTGTACTTATCGATCAGCACGCTGACACACGGTGCTAGCTCTTTCCCACGGTTTTGACTGCGTGGTCGTCTGTGCTGTCTTCGTATGATCACTACTTAGCCATGTTTACCACAGCAGAACAAAATGTAGAGAGTTCAGTCTTTGGCTGGTTTTGCCTCTGCTACCCACGTACTCGACGTGTGCGGACACCAGAGTCTGCATCACGTGGGGCTCTCCGGCCTTGCACCTTCCCACCACGCTGCAGCATGGAATGTTCTAGAAAGCTGTTACACTCCCACCCCCCCGCCACCACTGACCAGCTAGCAATAGTGTAACCATGGATAGAGGTAACCACATAAATATACCTCATGAAACCCAAACCAAACTGATCTTCACTTCATCTTCCCCTTAAGTGGGTCCCCAAATTGGACACTGCAGCACCACCCATGAGGGACAGTGTTCTGGAGGAGCACTGCTGTGGAAAGTGACTAATTACAGATTTAAACAAAGGTGGCCTGCAAACACACAGCCAGGCAAGGGGGCCCTAACATGCAGCTCCGTTCTCTCTCACTGTGGTGGAGAAACGTGGCCACCAGCTGCTGGGTGGCCTGGGAGCCCCCTGTGCCCTCCTCAGAGGCCCAGGGTGTGAAGTCAGATCCTCGCCGTCCTCGGACAGGGAGTCCAGAGATGGGGTATATTGAGGGTCTCACTCAGCATCTAAGGGGCTGTTGCATGACATGCAAAAAGGAAACCGTGCCAGAAGCCACCCCTTCCTAGGAGGTGGGAGGGTTTGACTGAGCAAACAGAATATCAGTCAAACCTGCCTGAATCACTCCTCCAGCAGAACTTCTTGGGATGCGGCGAGGGGACCATGGGCGAGGTGAGGGGAGGGTTTGGGATGGAAGAGTTGTTGGAGAAGCCTCTCCCCTCGTGGTCCCTCTGTAGTGGTGGACAGTGGCACAAATAACAATGAGGCTCTGGCGTAGGAATGCAGAGAGGCATTTGCATGGGTCAACAGCCATGAAACATGCAGCCTATCCCTAACCCTAACCCTAACCCTAACCCTAACCCTAACCCTAACCCTAACCCTAACCCTATCCCTATCCCTAACCCTAACCCTAACCCTAACCCTAACCCTAACCCTAACCCTAACCCTAACCCTATCCCTAACCCTAACCCTAACCCTAACCCTAACCCAATCTTAACCCTAACCCTAACCCTAACCAAGTCCTAACCCTAACCCTAACCCTAACCCTAACCCCAGCCTTCATTCTAAAACTTGTTGTTGTTCTGTGGCATTGAGTTGATTCCACCTCATAGCTACACTAGGGGACAGAGTAGAACTGCCCTATAGGGTTTCCAAGGAGCAGCTGGTGGATTTGAACCACTGACCTTTCGGTTAGCAGCCTGAGCTCCTAACCACCATTCAACCAGGGCTCCAATTTTAAACCTTACCCTTACCCTAACCCTAGACCTACTTCAACCCTAGCCCCAGACCTTGCCCTGAAACTAGTCCTAGCCCCAGCCGTATCCCTAACCCACACCTTAAACCTAACCCAGAGGCACCTTGGAAGAAAGGCCTGGCTATCTGCTTCCGAAAGCTTGCGGCCTGGAAAACCGTACGGAGCTGAGTTCTACTCTGCACACGTGGGGTCTCCGTCAGTCAGAGATGCTCAACGGCAACGAACAATAAGTTGGTGAAGCGAATACAGCTGCCAGAGGGCGAGGCTTGAGGACTGGACGCTTCCTGGGGGCTGCAGGGCGGGGCTGGAGGGCATGGGGTCAGCAGGAGACAGACGGGCACGGGGGGTTTGGGGCTGGCCTCAAGGTACACTGGGGCAGTGCTCTGTCCTGAGGATGGAGGGAGCCACTGATGGGGCACTGGCCTTGTGTCAGGCGCTCCGGTGTGGGGCCTGGGCTGGACCCCAGGAGCCAGAGGTCTTGTGCTCTGGGAGCTTGCAGGGAAGAGCACCCCGGCTTGGGCGTCAGGCAGGCTTCCTGGAGGTGGTGTCCCTGAGCTGGGCCTTGATGGTCTGGGGAGAAGGGGGGCGGGGCAGGGGAGAGCACAGGCATCTGAGGAGCAGAGGCAGAATGGTGGGCGCAGGGGTCAGGCTTGAGAGTAAGGGGCTGGAGGGGACTGAGCCTGTGAGCTCGGTCCTGTGATCTGTGGAGAGTGGGCTCCTCCGGAGATGGGGTCAGCAGAGGCAGGCCCGGGAGGAGGCCTGGGGGCCGTCCGGGTGGGTGGTGAGGTGGCAGAAGCCCATCCTTCAAGCATCCCTGTGGCAGCCCCAGCCCCCAGCCCCTGACTTCCGTAAGGTGTGAGGGAGCACGGGCCCTGACCCACTCTCCTGGCACTTGTCCACAGTGCTGGTCCCTGGGAAGGGCCTGGCTGCCGTTCTGAGGAGGCTGCCCATGTTCCATGATGAAGAGTATGCCCAGGCCTGCCAGCTCCCCGAGGACACCCTGGTGCTGCCGTGAGTGTGGGCTGGTGGGCTGGGTAACAGGGCTCTCCGGCCAGGCCAGCAGGGGAAGAGGGGGAAGATCTTGATCTGGAGAGCACCCGCCCAGGGCGCACACAGCACCTCCTGGTCCCCGCCAAGCGGGTCATGGCATTCACAGCGTGTCCTCTCACGAGGTGGCCACTGGTGCACACGTGGGGCTTCAGCTTGGATCAGTGAAAGCCTGGGGCACCCACCACCCCGGGAGGCTGAGAGGACCCTGGCCTGGATCTGCCTGCCCTGTGCCCACCGAGCCAGGGCTGGTATAGATGGAGGCGCGGTCAGCAGCCTCATGGTGACAGCCCCGTGCCCATCAAGAGGCCAGGCGGCCCTCGCGTCTCTGCTCACGACTCCTGGGGGGAGGTCTCCTGCTCTTGGCTTTGGGCTCAGCTGCCCAGTGACCACGAGGCAGAGCTGCCTCAGTGTCACCGACCCCCACATACAGGACCCTCTGCGGTGGCTCCTGGCTCGCTCCGGGGGCCTCAGCCTCCCTCTCAGAGCCAGGGTGTGGGAGGTGATGGCCACCCAGCCCCCGGCCGCCCACCCAGCCGGGGATGTTTACGGGGTACCACAGCCCCTGTCCTCAGGATCTAGGCCCTGTCCTTGGGGTGCTAAGAGCTCATGGGTGCAGAGTCCACAGGCACCTTCCGAGCAGCAGAGGCCCCAGCTGGGCGGTGGGGAGCTGAACGGCCTGGGCGGCTCCAGGCACTGTGTCAAGAGGCCTCTGTCTCCTGCAGCCCTGTCAGCCCCGACCAGAGGGTTATCTACACGGTGCTGGAGTGGCAGCCCCTCTTAGACTCCAGTGACATGACCATGGCCGAGTGGGTGCAAATCGCGCAGACCATCGAGGTGCAGGGCTTGGGTTGGGGACTGGAGGGCTGGGGCGGGGCTGGGGCTGGGGAGTGTGGCTGGGAGGGTGAGGGGGTGGGAGCTGGAGAGATGGGGCGGGGCTAGAGGCTGGGGAGCTGCTGGGGCAACGGAGAGGTGGGGACTGGAGGACTAAAGCAGGGCTAGGAGCTGGGGCGTGGCTGGCAGGGAGGGCTGGGCTGGGAGGATGGGGGCCGGGCTGGGAGGACACTGGCAGGATTGGCAGGGTGGGGGCGATGCTTGGAGGGTGGACCTGGGCCCGGAGGGTGAGATAGAGTGGGGCTGAGGGGTTCGGGGGGACTGAAGAGGACAGATATGGGGGCACGGCAGGGAGGGTGGGGCCGGGCCTTCGGGCCCTTTTGCCACAGAAGCCCTCGCGGGGCAGGTGGGGAAGGTCTGTGGCTTCTGGCGTGAGGGCCTGTCCACTCCCGGACAGCCGTCTTGGTTAGTCCGCAAAGACACCCCCACCATCCGCAGCCCCCAGGGCGTCCGCTCCAGCACAAGCCCGACCCTAGTTCCCGGGTCATCTCAACCCCTCTCTCTCCCCCTCAAGCCCAAGTCCCACCCGCCTCTCTTAAGAAGCTGCCTGGTCCCTCCAGTGGCTCGCATGATCCCCAGTCCCCAGGCACCTACGGGAGAACAGCTTCTCACCGCGGGCTGCCTGGGACAGTGTGGGGTCCTGGGGCCGGTCCTTGTATCCCCAAAAGGGCCACCTGCTGCTGTGGGCACGTCTGGTCCCGCCTTGGTCCTGGGCGTCTCCTCCGCAGGGCTTGCCTGCCCACCACGCCCGATGTCCTGGAGGCGGGACCCCGACCCCCGGCCACCCCACTGCGGTCGCTCAGCCGCGTCTGCCCGCGCGGCCAGCAGAGGGCGCCCCGCCCCGCCCTTTGCGCGGCCGGTGCATCTGCCTCCGCGGGCCAAGTGGGGGGCTCGGGCCACTGCCTCTACCAGCCAGCCTCCAAGGCCCAGTGTGGCCCAGGGACGGATTACCCAGTAAGCAAGGTACGCACGGGCTACTTGTGCTTCCTTACTAATCTGTAGCGCGCAGTTTCACCTGATTTTGTGGTGAAACCCATGGGAAATTGTGCACTATGGGTTAGTAAATAAGCACAAGTAAGCCCGTGAGGACCTCGCTTAATGCAAGTGTGGGCGGACCTTGTTTACTGGCTAATCCGACCCCGGAGGGCTGTGGTGACCCGAGAAGGGGTGGTATGGCCAGCCTCTCCCCAAGCACACCTCCCCAACCCCCACCCCCCAGCTTGCCTGGGACGGCTCTGGCCTTTCCTGGGCTTGGAAGACACTCTCGCATGTTTGCCTGTCAGCGTCCTGCCCTATGCTGGCCGCGTCCATTCACACTGTGTCCACCCCTGTCCCCTCACTGGGCAGACAGGCTCTGAACAGGGAGGTGGGGGCTGCTTACCTCACAGCCCCTTCTGCTTCTGGAGGTGCTGGAGGCCCTGGCCCTCAGCACAGGCCTTTCCAGGGGCGCTGGGCTGGTTCTGGAATAATCCCCAGGCCGGCACGTAACCTGGGCCAGTGCTGGTCGGGCCCCTGCCTGTGTGCTGTGCCTGGCAGAGGCCGAGGCAGGAGACTGGCCCTGTCCTCAGGGAGTGTCTGAGGCCCCACAGGCTCATGTGCTCTCGTGGTCTGAGGGCCCGGATGGGGGTTCAGGGAAGCCATTCTGGGGTGGGGAGTGCAGGGGCCCTGGCAGCAGGGGAAGCACAAGGAGGAGGCCGGTGGGTGGAGAGGGGGAGCCCTGCCCCTGAGTGCGGCTGTGCCCCTGCAGAGGCACTATGAGCAGTACCACGGCTTTGTGGTCATCCATGGCACCGACACCATGGCCTTCGCTGCCTCCATGCTCTCCTTCGTGCTGGAGAACTTGCAGAAACCTGTCATCCTCACTGGGGCCCAGGTAACGGGTCCCAGAGCCCATATGCTGTCCATAGAATGGGGACCGTTGGCCACTGGGTTTCCTCGGTGGGGGGCACTGGCAGCAGGGAAGCAGAGTGGGAGACACTGGGCGCAGGCTGGCACTGTCAGCAGGCACAGCTGTTGAGGGTCAGTGTTGGCCCTGGAAGTGGGGTGACTGTGGCCTGCCTTCTGTAAGTGGCCCGTCCCCAGCACACCCCACCAGCCCCAGCCTGCCCAGCCCTTCCCTCTCGCAGATGAAGGGACCGACCCCTACCTGTGGGCTTCCTTCAGGGGCCTCAGGAAGTCACCTGGACAGGTGAGCCCCTGGCCTGCTCAGCACCTCCCCAGCGGCCTCTTCCCCCAGGTGCCCATCCATGCCCTCTGGAACGACGGCCGGGAGAACCTGTTGGGGGCGCTGCTCATGGCTGGCCACTACCTGATCCCTGAGGTGCCCTTGCCGGGCCAGGCGTGGTGGGCTGTGTGGGCTGGGGGTCGGACAACGGGTGCCCAGAGCCTGTGAGCTCTCCAGGAACCCAGGCTGGGTGGGATGCTCGGGGTGGGGACGGGGGGCGGCACACAGGTAAGGTGCCAAGTAGGATTTTAAAAATTCATCATTTCATTTACATTGATGTTTACAAAAATAAAATGAAAATAGAGAAAGGGACCAAAGTTACGCCCACTCTCATTCCCCAGAGACACCCATGGTTAACAGTTCCTTCCCAGCGAACACACTCGCTGCTAACTGAAAGGTTCGAGGTTAGAGTCTACCCAGAGGTGCCTTGGGAGAAAGGCATGGCAATCTATTTCCGAAAAATCAGCCCCTGAAAACCCTGTCGAGCAAACAGTTCTACTCTGACACTCACGTGATTAGTACGAGTCGGAGAGGACTAGATGGCAACTAGCTTTGTATATTATGTGTGTGTGTGAGTCTCTGTAAAGGCAGATTGTACCGGACACACACAGATGTGAAGTCTGGGTTTTGCTTTCTCTTCGACATCTTTCCCCATTTCATGTGGCTTCTCAGAGAGACATTTCCAAAGACTCCCCTCCCCGCCGTCCCCTGCTTGGCACACAGTGAGGAGCCCCTTTTGTCTTTGGTGTTTCCCTTCCTGCGGAGGTGGGTCAGCAGCCCCTGGGGAAGGGGCTTTGCTCGCTACAGCATTTCCAAGACCTGTTTCACTGCCCCTGGCTGTCCCGTCCTGGTGGGGGAGCCAGGCCTGGTCCTCCCCATGGGAACCAGCACTGAGCAGCCGGAGGTTGGAGGCTGGAGATGGACTAGGTGCCCCTACATTCACGGGGGTGGATCGTGCAGGACCGTGGGTTTGCTGCAGCAGCATAGACGGGCGTGAGCTGGGAGCTGCTGTCTGCAAAGCCTGCTCCTAGGAGGACTTCCATCGTTGAGGACTTCCTCTCTGCCTGTGTGTGTGCGCGTGTGTGTGTGTGTGGGGGCCCTCGGGGGTTTGGGCCGTCCTGTGGGCTACAGGGAGGAAACTGGAGGACGAGGGTGGAGGCTCCAGTGGATGGCCGGCGCTGAGCCGCACCCACGCCCTTCCCGCAGGTCTGTCTCTTCTTCCAGAAGCAGCTGTTCCGGGGCAACAGGGCCACCAAGGTGGACTCGCGGAGGTTTGCGGCCTTCTGCTCCCCCAACCTGCCTCCCCTGGCCACAGTGGGAGCCGACATTATAAGTGAGCTGAGCTCATGAGCAGGGCCAGCGGGGAGGGTGGGATCTGGAACACTGCCAGCGTGGAGAGCTGTTGCTGGGACAGGGACAGGGACAGGGACGGAAAGCTTTCCTCCAGACTGGGGGATAGAAACCGAGCCGACACCATAAGTGAGCTGAGCCCGTGAGCAGGGCCAGCGGGGCAGGTGGGACCTAGTGGGGCGGGTGGGACCGGGAACACTGCCGGCATGGGGGGCTGTTGCTGGGACCGGGACCGGGTGGAGAGCTTTCCCCCGGACTGGGGGGCAGAGGCTGAGCTGGGTTCCGCCCTGGGCTGTGGAGAAGGCAGAGGGAAGCACGGAGGGCGGGCTGTGGGCCACTGGGGGCTCAGAGCTGGAGGAGCAGGTTTGGGGGGTCTGCCCCCGCTATGTGGTCCCCAAGCCAGGCCTCTGTGCCTTTGTCCTGCCTGGACCTGGTGCTGTAGGTCCCCGTAGTGTGGCCTCGTCCCTAATGTGTCCCTGGGAGTTCTGGGGGTGTCCTCTGGGCCTGGTGGGCAGCCCAGCCCTCCTAGTGGGCCCACCGATGCCTCGAGGCTCCTCCCAGCACCACGCCAAAGCCCCTCGGGAGGCCTGGCTGCTCCTCCTGCCCTGGGTGTAAGGGCGGCCTGAACCTGGCTCCCAGCCACGCCTGAGGCCCAGGGCTGCCCCAGGTGACCCATGAGTAGTGCTGGCTGGAGGACCTGCTCCCCTGCCTGTGCTGTGTGGTGGTGCTCAGCCCCTCCTGGGCCAGGCCCAGGCCATGCCACTCAGCCAAGGAGGAAGATGCAGGTGGGGGTGTGCCTGTGTGTGGCCCAGGGCTGGCAGGGTAGCCTTGGGGGTGCACAGCTGGGGCTGGCACCGAGGGGCAGGCTGTCCCCCCCCCACTGCCCCTGGGCTTGTCTCCCATGCTGAGTCCTGTGCCCTGCCCCCCACCCCCCCATGTCAGGCTGTCTGGCCAGTTCCGGCACCTGGTGTTGAACGATGGTATGGCCAGAGAGCCTCAGATAAGGCCCCTGGGGACAGGCGGCCACAGGGCTGAGGCAGGGCCTAGGCTAGGTCAGGGCGCCCGTGCACTCTCCCTGTCCAAGCCAGGATGAGGGCAGGTGGGGTGTCCTCTTGCGGCGTTTATCACACTTGTGAGGGAGCAGAGACTTTGGGTCCCTCATGGAACCCGGGGCTCAGGAGGCCTGCCCAGCCTCAGCATAGGTCAGGCGGGGCAGTGTGGGGGGTTCCAGTGGCCCTGTCCCTTCCTGCCCATCCATGCCGCACTGAAGGACTAGGGGCCTTCTCGGAGACCCCATCCCTGCCCAGCGTCTTTTGGCCCTGCTGCCCTGTGCTGAGGTTCTGGCCCAGTCCCCCCGGGCTGGCCTCGCTGCAGAATCAGGTTGCTGTCTCCGGCCCACCCTGCTATGATCCTCAAGCCGTGGTCACGTGGGCACCTGGTTAGCAGTGCCACCTCCCCCAGGGTGCTGTAGCCGCCCCAGGCCTCCTGTGTCCCTGGTGACAGTCATCCTTCCCACGGGGGACTGCCGACGCTGCCACTGCCCGTCTAAGGGGCCTGCCGCTGGGTGTGGAGACCTCAGCAGGAGCCTGGGGTAGGAAGGATTTGGGGTGCGAAGGGGGCCCCCTCTGGCGCCAGGACCACTGGCCCTGGCCACTGGCAGGCTGCAGGGCAGCACAACGTCTTCTTTGTCCCTCCCTCAGGAAGCGGGCTTTGTGACCACCTCCTCTGGAGCCATAACTCTGCGGACAGAGGTGGTAGCAACCCACCTTATCTGCTCTCCCAGCTGAGACGTGTGTCCCTAAATTAAAGGACGCCCTGGTGCTGTCTGGTGCGGGGGCTGATTGATGCTTGGCCTTGGAGGGGGGGAGTGGAGGACCCCGCTCGGTCCTCCCCCTCCCCAGCCACCCCCACATCTCCTGGCCCTCCCGGGGGCTTGAGAAGCAGTGTGTCCGGAATGGCTCCATTTATCATCACACGGACTCACTGGGGCTCTGGGCTTACCACGGCCATGTGGGGGCTGAGAGAGGAGGCGCCCTGCATGGGGGCCTGTTCGCACCCCTCCACTCCCTGTTCTCATCCTGGCCTTGCGCCTGACTCGATGGGTTGCCCCAGCCAAGGCCCCTCCCTTTCCGAGCCTTACTTTCTCTGGGCTGAGGCTTCCCTGGGCTGCAGGGGCCTCGCACCAGGGCCCGCAGAATGGGGCCCTGTCCTTGGCGTGGGTCCTGTGGGTGACAGGCCGGCTGTGCCCGCTGCTCCTCCACACGTGGAGGGGAGGGGGTCGGTGCCTCTGGCCACACTGTGCTGGATGAGGAGGGTGGAGATTAAGGGGTGCTGATCCCCAACATCTTCTTCTCTGCACTTTCCAAGGGCCTGACATTCAGGGTGTGGAGAGGAGTGGGGGGCAGGGTTAGACCTTTACGTCTAAGGGTGTTAGATGGGGGCTTTCTTTCCCCAGAGGTGAAGGGTCTGGAGACTCACTCATTCATTCATCTAGTCATTCATTCCTTGACTCACTACACCCTTGCTTCTCAGGTTGCATGCTCGGAGGCCCAGTGCCGGCCGTGTGTAGGTGCCGGCCCTGTGTAGGTGCTGGGCCCTGCCGTGTGTAGGTACTGACTCTGGGTAGGTTCTGGCTGTGTGTACGTGCCGGCTGCGTGTAGGTGTGGGGCCCGGCCCTGTGTAGGTACCGGCCCTGTGTAGGTGTGGGGCCTGGCCCCGTGTAGGTACCGGCCCTGTGTAGGTGTGGGCCCTGTGTAGGTGTGGGCCCGGCCGTGTGTAGGTGCGGGCCCTGTGTAGGTGTGGGCCCGGCCGTGTGTAGGTGCGGGCCCTGTGTAGGTGTGGGGCCCGGCCGTGTGTAGGTGTGGGGCCTGGCCGTGTGTAGGTGTCGGCCCTGTGTAGGTGTGGGGCCCGGCCGTGTG